ATCTTCGTTTTCCAACGCGGCTTCGATGTTGTGTAGGGGAGCAACAACGTACTCAAGCTTGAAGATAAAACCAGGTTGGATGTGATACCCAAGGAATATACCTTCAATCCCTGTGCCAGAAAACTTGGATCGTTCAGGCTTGCGTTGCTTCTTCGGGGCCCAATAGAGGACTTTCGCTCCAAAGGGAATACGCATGCCGTTGAACTTTTCACCGTACCTGATTTCCCACGGAATCTGACCATTGTCAATCCTCGCAGTGATGTTAAGACACATAGCATGATGTTGCGATGCAAGAGGCCAATAGCGATCTGGAAGTCCTGATTGCACTAAATTGGCCCGTGTGCCTTCCAAAATGGTTCTGATTTCTCGCTCGATTACGGCCTTGTTTTCGTTCACATACTCTCTAGAAGTGTTGTGACGAGCGCGAAGCTGTCTGGCCGCAAAGTCAAACTCCAACGCATTGTCGGAATATATAACCTTTACCTCATCATCTGTACCAAGGAAGTGCAACATGTCTTCGTAGCACTGCTCACCAGACTTTGTCTTGGAAGGGTACACGTATCTAAACTTAGAATACACGTCCTTCACAACATGAGCCACGGTTTCGTCTTGGAACCCGTAATCCTTGGCATCAGCGGTCACGATGTGATCTACTGTGATGTGGTCACCGAACGATTTACTGTAGATTGTAGAGGATCCACCAGATTTACGCGCCTGGGGCGCATACATCTTGGCCCTTTGGCAAATGGGGCAGAACGGATTCTTTGGTCTATGGGTAAGTCGATGTTCCAAAGACACAGCCTCAGCCCTCAAGGAAGCTTCATCCTTCTTAGACTTTGGCATTGTGTATGGCTCGACATCGCTGTCGGCTTGCGCCTCAACTTCCCCTTCAGGCAAAGCAAACAATGTGATAGTCGCAATAGTCCCTTCAGGTACTCCCCCATAGATTCCGTCCAATTCGTCAATGTTGACTGAATCCTCCAACAAAGACCACACGTCATCCTTGAATCCCCAAGTAGTCCGGATTCTATACCTTGGGAACTTAGGAGCCGGTGTTCGAAGCGTCTTTGGGAAATGTGCCACCTTAGCAGCGGGGCTGCCGTTGATGACAGTCCAACCTGCCTTTAGCAGTTGCCTCGTTTCCACCCCAGGAATGGGAGGAATGCAATTCGCCATCTTTTCGATGGGATCTTCTGCCGCGCCAGCTGGACCTTCAGGTTCATGTTCGTGCTCTCCCCTAGCTGGTGCGGCGTGCCCTTGCGAGCAGCTGTTTACCGAAAACCCGAACCAGACTTGACAGAGGTCGGTGCAACCTTGCTGCCATCAGATTCTGAGGACTTTGCCGCTAAGCATGCCATCAATGGTCCTCGGTCGCCAAATACGGGGACATTGCCTCGGAGTTGGCAAATCATCTTCTGACCGTCTGGGCAAATGAAATATGGCGCCTCACCCGCTGGCCAGTGGAAAGAGAACCCCTGTTCCATGCACTTCTTTCCTACAGAGCAAACTGCAGGTGTGTTGGGGAGCTCAACGAACTGCAATGGGTTCCTCAATGACTCAATGTAGACCTCATGCTTGGTATCAGCGTCTACTGGTCCGTTAGCAGTGATCAAACTCACTGGGTTGGAAGCAACCTTCTTAGCCTTGCCCTTGAAATGGGCCTCCAAATCAGAGTGACTAATTAGATCTTCCTCGCTACCTGTGTCTGCGATGATTTCGAGGTTTTCACCTGTCACCGCCGCTGCAGCAAGTTGGGGCAGGGGAATTGCTTCTTTGCAGTGAATGCAGAATCCTTCTCTACCCCGACACCTGTAGTTACACTTGACCCGAACCTTAAGCTTCATCCCGTTCACTGCTGATTCCAAGTGACGGGCATTCTGCAAAGCTTCTTCGGTGTCCTCTGGAATTGATGGTGGGCATAGCTCCGCAGACTTGTACCTGAATTCGAACTTGTGCTTGTCTGGTACGAAGCTCCAGCCTTCACCTTCAGGCGGGATGTCAATGATTTCTGGCCTTAGGAACTGGACCTTTCTGCTTCGGGGCTTTCCGGCAGGGCCCTTGCGGGCTGCTACTGCGTAGGCTTTCACAGCATCGGCCGGTGGCTCACCCGTGAGGGTGGCTGTGAGGGAAAGACAGCAAGCGGCTGGTTTGTCCTCACTCTTTGGCCTTTTCTTACTGGGTCGCCTGCGCTTGCCGGAGGGCGATCTCTTCCCGTCCTTGCCAGCCTTATCGCCTTTGGCCGGGACAGAGGGAGCGGCATCCTTGTGCATGAATGGGCAATTCTTACCGTTCTTGCAGGTGCCTTTGGGGAAAAAGATGCAAGGAATCTTGGAGGTGTCCTTCTTCTCCCCACCTTTACCGCCTTTACCTCCACCTTTTCTCGAAGGGGTACGTGGAGGTGTTCTGCCCCTTGTCTGTTCAGGAGTAGGCTTCACGTGCTTGTATGGGCACTTATCACCTCGTGGGCACTTCCCACGCTGGAAAGCGTAGCAGGGCTTGTCCTGGCTTCGGCCGCGAGGGGTGTTCGGGGTATCGGAAGGAGCAGGGGCACCAAATCTGGCGCCATGAGCTTTGGCGATTGCTGTGCGGTTTTTGCGAGTCCTATCTCTAGCCAACAGCTCTTTCACGCATTTGACCAAGTAGTCATAAGTGCGTTGCTCTGTTCCTTCCTTAGCCCTGTCGTAAACCTCCAGATCAAACTTGAGCTTGCTAGCATTGCGAAGCTGACGAAGTAGAATATCTCTCAGTGTAGTCTCCTCGGGTTGGTGATTCAACCCCGCGATGACCGACTGCCAATTGTGAATGAAAGTGCTAAGGTCATCACCATTCAACTGCACCTTGAGTAGATCTTCTACAGAGTAGAGGGAGCCTGCTTCCTCGTTGGTCTTAAAGTAGTGTTCGAACATCAGTAGAACTTGTCTACCACGAACGGCCCTACCAGCAGCTGCCTCAGACTCCTTGTAGTTAATGATCTGTCGTCCAAGATCACCCCTAGCAACCCTCGAAAGCGCCGAAAGGATCTTCGTATCCAAAGTGAGGAATTTACCCGTGTCCCTCAACTTCTCCGGATCGGCGTCCCTGGAGTAAACCTCTTGAACCCATTTGAATGCCTCATCGGGTCTGTCCGATGCTGCCCGAACGGCCTCCCTAACTGTGATCTTCCAGCTCCTGTAAGTCTCCGGGTTAGGGAAGTCAGGTAGCTTCACCGTTTCAGCTTCCTTAGCCTTGGGTTTGTCATCGTCAGGCTTCTGGATAACCGACTTGAGTGCTTCAGCGAGAAGTACGCTAGGTTCTTTGTTTTCAGTAGATTCTGCCGGTTCTTTGTTATCACTCTGTTCAGCAGCAGATACCGCTACATTGTGGGCCTTGGAATCCTCAGGCTCACCAATGTCATACCGTTGGGTCCTTCCCAAAACCGTCCGAAGCGACACAGGAATCTCCCTGGGGTTCGGAAGGGTCGGAATCCATGAATGGCTAGGACCCTGAACAAGCGGCGCTGCGGCACCACCTTGCGGTGGGCTTGGTTGAAGCTTGGAGCTCTCACTGGGATCGACTTTCACCGGCACGGCACCACCTTGCGGTGGGCTACTCTCCGCTGTCGACAAGACAGTCCTGAGTGAGTCGACCTCAGCTATAAGCTCCGCGTTCCTGTCCTGCAGGTCATCAACCAAGCTATCGTACTGCTGTGCCTCAGAGGTTAGCCTATGGTAGTACTCGTTTTCTTCCCATTGAAGCTTTTCCTCAAACTCAGACCCTAAAAAGGCAATCATCTCACTGTGGTTTTCTTCGATACTCGAGCGCAATTCCGCGAAACGGCGTTCATGCTGTTTGTTTTCCGCAGTGAGCATGCGCGCTGCTGCTTCCAGCTCGGACCGATGTGCATCAAACTGCATGGCCATAGACCTTTCATCATGACTTTCCCTTTGTGCGCGTGCCAGCTGTGCCTGCAGCTCATTGGCTGATTGTCGTTCTGCTCGGGCGATTGTCTCTAGCACTCGTACTTCATTGTGTAGCTGTCCCACCAACAGGTGTGTGGATTGGCTCACAAATGCTAGCTGTTGACGATGATTCGCATCCGCTGTTGCCTCTAGGTGTGCAATGTATGCGTTGGCTTCGGCGTACACGTTGTCCAATGCAAATCGATGTCGTTGTTCCGCGCGAAGCTCCAAGGCACTTTGAATGCGGGGGTCATTCAGGAACAAGTTCACCTGAGTATTCTCCTGCAACAAATGCAAGAAGTACTGGTTCGCTTCCTGCTCCTGTCTACCACCAATACCACCGTCACCGTTGTTGCCCGCGGCCGTTGAGAACGGCACGATGTCCATTACGGAGCTAACTACGGCTGATAACCTGAAGTTTCCCAGGCTACCAGCTTGGCACGTCTAGTTACCGGTCAGTCAACCCTTGTGACCTTTTTCCACGGGGGACTTGGGCCAAGTGCAATCGCGTAAAGACATAGCTAAGGACCATAGGAATAGCAATGGAGGCAGGGTAAAATCTACACTTATAGTGCCCCTATAGTACCCATTTAAAGAAGCCCTTAGAAAGAAGCTGACTTTAGGGTTTAAGTTTAAGGTTTAGGATTGAGTTCAGGGAGGGTTCAGGGGTTTGTGGTAAATTCTGGTAACCTAACCTGGCACGAAAATTAGCCGAAATGGGATATGCGAAGAAGTCGTCGCCGTGATGCAGACACTGAGTGCGTACGAAGCACGCACGTGTGTCTAGCATGTGTGTGTGTATATATATATATATATACATATATATATACAAGTACATACACACATACACATACGCACATAAATAAAACAGATACTCATGTGTATATAAACACACATATTTGATATACACATAGGTATCTGTAGACCTATCTACTACATGTATCAGTGTATACATACTATATGTATAAATATATACATATATATATACAGAAAACACATACATATGTTTGTAACGAATTCGATCAAACCCCAAACCCAAAATTCAAAGTGCAGCCTGGATTCGGGAAATACCTCACTGCAAAGCTCTCCTCGGCGGAATACACAGGGAAGTCACTGCTGGCCTTCGAGACACTGGTCTCCATGTCCTCGCCGTTCATCCTCACCTTGCATGCCCAATCATAGTGCAACATGGCCCATCTTCGATGATGCAATCAGCTAGTGAAAGTAAGCGTAGCAGGGCCTCGTCAGCCTCGTCAATCGGATCCATTGCCGCACAGCCCCGCGAATCATTCGAGCGTGGCTCATGCTTGGCGTAATTATGTAGCATAGCATATGTACAAGTCACACACTCCTGGTGCGCATTTGCATTTTCGGGCTAGCCGGGGCAACCCGCTGTCCTGGCTAAATGCTGGCCTATGTTGCGATTTTCGCAAGAAGCAGAAATCTCGTTGTAATTCTAAACATTCTGGACAAAGGACCTTCAGGGGTAGGCGGGAAGAGGGGCGCTTCTTTGGGGCCAAAGCCACCGTGGTGGGGGGTCCCACTTCTTGCCTTTCTCTGAATCAGTCATTCGTGTGCTGGTTACGGGGGGGGGGGCCTTCCCCTCCCCCGCGTGTTTCAGTACTGTTTCGCCATTATCAAACAAGCTCCTAGGTGCGATTTTGGCTTGGGTCACTACTACCAAGACGAATTGGTAAACGACTCTAGTGTAACTGAACCAGGAATCCCCAAAGCCAGGTTGCAAAGCGGTTGTGCACAGCGTTGTGGAGCGCGATCTTTCCATCCCCAGCATCGACAACTGTGAAGAGCTCCCAGCTCTCAGGATCTGGAAGCGAGTCCTCTGCAAAGGGCAGAAAACTCTCTTGCCTTCTTTGTCTCTTTTTGCAAAACTGCTCCTGGTCGCCGTAGCCACCAATTGGGGGGGGGGGGGGGCCGCCAGGACCTCCAATGCCGCCGTAGCCAGAGCCGAAGCCAGGACCGGCCGTAGTGAAAAAGCCGTAGCCACCGCCGTAGCCAAGACCGTAAGAGCCGGAGCTGAAGCCAGTACCAGAGCCGTAGCCGCCGCCGTAGCCAGCAACAACCGGAGAGCCGAAGCCAGTACCAGTCGCAGTGGAAGAGCGGAAGCCAGTACGAGTCACAGTAGAAGAGCCGAAGCTAGTACCAGTCGCAGTAAAAGAGCCGTAGCCGCCGCCGTAGCCAGGACCGTCGCCAGCACCAACCGGAGAGCCGAAGCCAGTACCAGTCGCAGTGGAAGAGCCGTAGCCGCCGCCGTAGCCAGGACCGTCGCCAGCACCAACCGGAGAGCCGAAGCCAGTACCAGTCGCAGTGGAAGAGCCGTAGCCGCCGCCGTAGCCAGGACCGTCGCCAGCACCAACCGGAGAGCCGAAGCCAGTACCAGTCGCAGTGGAAGAGCCGTAGCCGCCGCCGTAGCCGAAGCCAGTACCAGTCGCAGTGGAAGGGCCGTCGCCGCCGCCGTCGCCGTCATCGCCGTCATCGCCTTGGCCGTAGCCGCCGTCGCCGTCGAAGCCGTTGCCGGCCTGGCCGTAGCCTCCTGGATAGTAGGGGCATCCCGGTCGTGTTTACCACAAGGCCATGTTCAGGAGTGTGTATTCGTGACGCTGTTGTCAAAAAGAAGCTCAACAACCTTCTTTAGCGAGCGCGACCGTGCCTTATTGCTTGTGTTTCTGCCCGGTTGTGCTTCTAAGTTCTCGTATTACCGGATGTCTGTCAAAATCCCTATAGTTGAACTCTTAATTTGGGTGATACCTGCCGCAGCCGATGGAGCGCTATCCATGTCCGCCTGAGCGAATCAAGTCGGAACATTGTGAGGTTTCACGACGGTGGGACATTCACTGTTCAGGGATTAGGATTGCCGATGAAACCACTGTCTGGTTGGCGGTCTGGAGCTGAGCATCTGCCACTGCCTCACTCTGCTCGTCTGCATCTGCGCCCGTGTCTCGCTCTGTCGTTCTTCTTCGTCTGCGTCTGCCTCTCTGTCTCAGCCGCTGTCTCACTTTCTCTCCCTCTCTCTCTCGCACTCTCGGTCTCCCAGTCATTCAAACGTGGACAGTTTAGATTGGTAAAGGTCATGATCGCGACTCCCGAGTGACTCCGAATCACAGCACGGCACACACACCCAAAACCTGCAGCCCAAACTGCAGCTTGTCAGTTTGAACATCTTGTCCCCGGCTCGCGTCCCACACTCCACAACCTCGAAGCCCGGCAACCCTAGGAAAAAACGGTTCCTGCAACTCATGGCAAGACCTGAACAAACCCTTAAAATCCGACTTTAAATAAGACCCAACCCTACTCCGAACCCCAGAAAAGAAACCTAAAGCTAACAACACAAGCAGTCGAGTCCACGGCCTGATCGTTCATGCGCAGGAAGCGGTTCCAGAATGTGCAGTACAAGGCTACTACGGAACCAGGCTCCAGGTAGGGCTTGACCTGACGGACTGCTGGAGGAAGCGTCTAAGGTAGTAGCCTCGGGGGTTTAGGGATATCCATGATCGGATTGCATTGGTTGTTTGGCTTGGTGAGTCGATACACTCGGTTTTTGTGATAACCGTGCAAAAGGTTTAACAGGTCCACAAGGGTCCAGGTGTTCAGTGTACAAGCACCGATGGCAGCATCTTGAAATTGCAAGCCTTAAAAGGCATCCGGCCCAGCAAGAAAAGCCCCTAACAAGTCCTAGAACACGTTGTGAAGCTCCGTTAAACAAACGTTTTCAGAGCCTGTAAACACAATGACTCCTGAAAAAGCAAAAGACGTGTAAATCAGACACTAAAGACATACAAAAAGCCCCTTCTGATTCTGTACATAAGGGACCTCCCCCCTGCCCCGCCCCGCGCCGCCCCTCCCCCCACCTGCACGACACGGAAGCGCTCAATGGCCGACGGCAGATCTGATGCATTCCTTACTTCCCGTGTGGGCATTTTCCCACCCGTCGCGTCGCGTGTCAACCAAAAGATGCATTCCTTACCGAGGCATCAGAACTAACCCCTTGCTTGGGACCTACTCGTTGCATTCCTTACTGGTGCTTACGGAGGCTGGAGGTAGGATAATGAGAACGAGTTAAAAAAGGAACTGCTATGGATGCATTAACCATGAAGGCATTATAAGAGGACTGTTCGAAAGATCCACTCCCCCAACTCCTCCTTAAGCACCAGTAAGAGTCCTTTCTTCGCTCACGCCCACGATCCCGTCATCCGACAAGGAGACGAAGCCTCGGTACTGATCTTGGCATCTAGGTTCTTTCAGGCTTTTTCTTGTAGCTTGTGGTTTAGGACTGGGGTTTGGGATTTTGTGGTTCGGAAACTTGGAGTTGCAGGTTACTGCCTAAAATCGCCAGCTGAAGGTTTAGACAGCTAGATTGGCAGCCAACCGGGAACTCTAGATGGGAGCCATGCTGAAGCTGTATCGCCGAGCTTCGGCTGAAGAGGTTCAGAACGTGTTGTTATCGTACCGGTTCTGGAGCAGAAGCTAGTAGTTCTTCTGCACGGTGGCTAACAATAAGTTTGATTATGATGCGGGATATCGCAAAATTCCGAGCAGCAGCCGAACAAACAAACGAAAAGAGCTGCCTGGACCTGCCAGCCAACGAGATCATGGTGCGACTCTTTAGGCTCAGGTCAGTGCTGCTGGCGCTGTCGAACAGCATACCCGAAAGTCCAACCATCACGATCTCTCAGAATATCGAACTGCCAAGACGCGGCTGTGGACACCGCTGTGCAAAGCGATGGAGCCATCCCCGGCATCGACCACAGTGAATCGCTCCCAAATCGCGTCTGAAGGAAGCTCATCGGCAGCCTCGAAGTCTCGTTGAGTGCTGGACGTTGGAGGCTTTCGGGTTCAGGGAGTTTAGGGCATGGGGTTTCGGAAGGAGGGTTCAGGGCTAGAGGCAGGGCAGGGTTGGGGTTTAGGTGGAGGGTTTGGGGTGCAGGATTTGAAGCTGAAGTCTCAACAAGGGATTCAAGTCTTGAGGATTGGTTGGAGAGGTGTTGAAATCTTCGAGGCGTTCTCTGGCTTTCCGGCTCTCGTCAAGCCGTTCCAGTTCAGCAACTCCTTAGCTTGATGTACACTTTGTGGTTGTCAAGCAAGTCAACCTCAGTCACAACCACAAGGCTTCCTCCCACGCGATGTAGTCCGCAGATTAAAAGTGATGAGTCTTCAGCTTTAGGTTTACTGTGCGAGAATTGAAGCACAGAGACCCGGAAGCCACTTGTGTCCATCCCCGTGCTGCTCATGAGCACGAAGCGGTTGTGGAAGGTGTTGTGCAGCGCGATCTTCCCGTTTCCGGCATCAACAACGGTGAAGCGTTCCCAAGTCCAGTCCTTCGCGTGGTGCTTGGATTGGCATGTCTCGTTTCAATGCCTATGCCACGGCCTACAAATGCGCCGTCAAAATGGGAGCTGAAAAGTAAAAGCTCGGGCTCGAAGCCGATCCAGTCCGTGGGAATTGAGGCATCGATTATCGACGTGTTCATGCGCAGGAAGCGACCTTACAAGGGAAATGTATTTCACAAGGGGTACCTTTCCGGCCAATCTCCCACATCCTTTCCTCGGAACGCCCTCTCCAGGCCAAGCCGCCGTGAGCCCAGCCTTGCAAGGCAATCGTGGCGCCGGGTCTCAGATGCACCTCAGCGTCTGGGGCTTTGGGGATTCGAGCTCCGGCTTTGACAATGCGGCTTACCAACTCCTGCACAAGTATGTTAACGATGCACATACACACACACACACACACACACACACACACACACACACACACACACACCTCACACCTTGGCACTCAAGACAACCCCCCAGCCCCGTCGCTGAGGTCGCCAACATTCAGGTGCAGAAAATAGCTGCCATCGAAAACATCTGATGGCCCCATGCCATTTTGCGCGGCTGCTGTCCGCATCCAAGCCTCCCGAGGATGTACTGAAGTGCGAATCGAATGGGCTTTCGAAACAAGAGACACGGTTGCACGACTGCTTCAGCAATAGCTCGGCAGCCTACCGATTTCAGAAGAGAGATGTCTCAGCAAGTAGCAAGTGCCACTACCCGACCCCGCCTGATTTTTGTCTACCCATCCGCAAGTATCGGTTTCAAAATCACAGCCCACGACATCGTAGTTCGGAAGACTCAAGGTCGTAGTGGCCATGGTTGTGGAGGTCTGGGAAATCGTCACGGACGATGTCGCGGAAACCGTCACAGTCACCGTTGAGGTCGTCAGGGTCTGGGTCTGCGTGGTCGTGGTCGCCAAAGAGCACTGGCAGAGTACCAGGATCTTCAGAGCTGCCCATTGCATTGCCTTGGTTCCAGCTCTGCACAGACTGCAGCATGCTGGGCTCACCGACGATCTGACCGGTGATCTGCCGAGATGCCTTCGAATGAACAATGGCACCAGCCAGCAGCTAGCAAACTCCCTCGAGGGCTGCGGCAAGCAAGTGCGAGCAACGAATCACGAGTCGACCAGGGGCAGGCACCAAGCTTCTTCACGACAGACTGCCGGTGACATACTTTTCCCGGCATGGCCCAGGGTGAACCGGTTGTGCCGTACATGCAGCGAAGGCAGGTATCGCTACAAACTGAGTTTTCAAAATATTCAGATGCAATTAGACAGTGACACCACTGCACCACCTCCTTCGAAGGCCGCGAGTCCAGCGAATAAACCTGTCGTGGTTGTCCCTCGGCAGAAGTTCACACGTCAATTCATATCGGACTAGGAGCGGCGGGCTTCCGACAACCAAGATGCTGAGGATGCTGAGCTACACTACTCCGGAACTGGGCCTTTCACACAGCCATAGAAGCACGGCGTCAGCCCACAGGTGGCTTCTGCCTCCGTCAGCTCCTGTGTCAGAGCTGTGCGAAACGGGCCACACCCGGTGCAAAGCCCGCCTGCAACAACCTCAGATTCACCGAACCAGCTCGACATCCAAACCGAAGCTCCGGTGGTTCGAACTGGAACTGGATGGATTGATTACCGTATGCGAAGGCAAAGGAGGAGGAGCTGGCCAATTCAATTCGTGTACAAGCTCTACGGCAAGCAGGAAGCCACCAAAACAAACAACCACGATCACGCAAATAGCTTAGTCACAGCTTGCTAAAGTCGACTGTCCTGCGGAAGCAGTTCACACACAACTGCAAACCACGTCAATGCCATCCGTGACGAAAGCGCCTTCATAAGCTAGCCTCAAGGCCTCACGTATGATTCAACAAATCATGCACTCAAGAGTGTCTGCTTCGTTTGGGGTGGCCTCGCACGTTTCGGCACGAAAGACACGACAAGCCTTGTCGACCCTGGTTTGCACGTAGATGCAGGAGGCACTTTTCGAATGAAGTTCATGGCTGCAAGCTGCTGGCTGTCATGAAAGTGACTCAAATCCAGTAGTGCAGACACACTTCACTTCCTGGCCTGGCCTCCAGCTCTGCTTAATGCCCTGGTTAATTCCGGATGCTTGAAGGTGGTGTCCTGAAATCGCCGGCCGATCGCCTCCCCCGTCTGGCGAATTAGAATCCAATCTCCGTCACACTCAGTGGTGAAACGGCGATCCCAGTGCACTTTCCGGTCTGTTTTGCTCACAAGCTGTACCTTCAAGCGCGGGCATCGGCCGCAAAGCCACAGCAACAAGTAGACGGCCAGTCGCCGGTTGCAGATGCTGTAGTAATATCCTTCGTGGAAGACGACATCCATCATTTCAACCTCCCGCTTCAGCATTCGTCGTTCTAGGATTGCATCAAACATCTCGCGCACCGAGCTTGTCTTCACAGAGTCCCTGGCTGGTCCCGGTGAGTCACTGGAGCTGTAGCCGGAGCTGTGGCCAAAACTACCGTTATCTTTAAAACCAGACTTGATGGAGTCTTGGGTGAAGTAGAGCTCACAGGGAGGAATGAAGAAAATACTTCCAGCCTCAAAACCGTAGAATCGATGCACCGCGCGCTCCGGCGCAGGCTCGAACACCTCGGGCTCAGCAGACTTCTGCTCCTCTGGCAGTTCTGGCGGGGCTTTCGCGGCATCACCTTCTTCCGGCACGTCCTCCTCTGTCTGTCCTGGCTCCGAGACAGGGGGAGGCTCGGGAATCGGAGTGAAAGACTCGCATCTCGGGATCTCTGCCTCGACCTCCTCAGCTCCGCTGCCCGGCTCAGGCTCTTCGGCCTCGTCGCCCTCATCGTCGCCCTTCGGCGCCGTCGTCGCCGTGCCCGCGGCAGAATGCGTTGGCTTGGAAGTCGAAGCGGAAGTCGCTTTCCAGCTTTTCAAGCACTGCGAAGCGCCCCAGCCAGTGTGTGCGGCCTGTCAAGCCCTGATGCCGATCCAGCTTCGCCTGCTTCTTGCTACGGCTTCTGAACACAGCATCTACGTACCGCTTCGCCACGTCCAGCAGCGCTGAATGCCTCTCACGCAAGAGCTCTTCTAGCTTCCTGGCTGAAATACGGCTGCCAGATCCCATGCTGACCTCCTCCTGCAGCAAGTCGCGCAGTCGAATGGAGTCCTCTGCTGGAAAGACCTTCTTCCAGTCCGGCTCCGTTGCTTTGGGCGCGGCTTTCACCTGGGCCTTCGCCTTTGGCTTTCGCTTCGCTTCACTCGTCTCTTTGCCGATGCCGGGCTTTGGCTCAGCTGCATCACTCCGAGAAGGCGGCTGCGCACCCTTTCCCCGTCCTTTCGCACTGCTGCTTGAAGCCGCATGCTCGTGCTCCCATGCCTCCCGCGCGTCCACAAACTGCAGGTGGCGGCGCTTCACCACCTTCTGCTCCTTGCACTCCCCGTCGAGCTCCACGACGAAGCGCGCCTCGTCGCCCTCCCGGCCCTCCCCATCCCCTTCTTTGCGGTCACCCTGCCTCTGCGCCCATTCAAGTCCCTGTTGTTGACCAGACCTCTCAGGGTGACCATGCTCCCCAGCAGCTCGCGATCGGGATCTTCTGCATCAGCAAAATCATACATGCGATTCCTCGCTGCGTGGCGCCCCTCCTCCAGGCGCCTGGCCTCTCCGATGTTTTCGAGACCTCGCTGCCGACGAAAGGCGGCCGATCTTGCGCTCGGACGCGAGGCTGCGCTTCCTTCCTCCTCTGACTCGGAGAGCGAGGAGTAGCCACCGATGTCTGCTGCCAGCTCGCCCCGGCCTGCTGTGTTGAGCATCATCTTCGCATAAGCGCTCATCTCGCCTTTCTTCTCGATGTTCAACTCCAGCTTCTGGGACTTGAGAGCCACTTCCGTGCCATCGCCGATCACGACTTGGAAGCGGATCTCGCCGCCATTGCTTCCAGGCACCACTTTCCGCAGTGTGCCTAAGGCACCATTCAGGTCCACTGGTCGACAATAGTTTGGAGGAATCGGCTGCACACCGCGCAGAGATTTCACCACTACCGTCGAGCCTGGAGGAACGTGCTGGTCCAAGTGCGAGACATGTGGAAGCCCGAAGTTGTCTCCGACCAGGTCCAACGACTCGACCAGTTCACGCCAAAGTTGGATGCCGCCGACATCTGCGAAAAGCAGCTCCACGTTGTCCAAGAAGGTGCGCCGAGCAGGCGAGCTCTCGCGGCTCTCCACGGATCCTGCGACGCCGGCCTCGAAGAAGCGCTCGACAGATTCCCAGAGGCGGCAGACGTCCGGCGGGTATCGGTGCGCCGCATTGTACTCGTGGGGTTGTGGGTGAAACCAGCGGCCTGTGTCAGGCCCTCCGGGTGAGGCCGCATCCTTCTCGTGCATCTGCTGGATGGTGGTGCCGTAGATGCTTTCTGCGAAGCGTCTTAAAGAAGGCCTGTCAGCAGTCATCGCGTTCTCATCGCCGTACTTGAACTTGGCGTGGTCCTTTTGGAATCGCTTTGGGAGCAGCTTCCTTGCGAGCGAAAGCAGCCTTTCAAAGTCGAACACCGGCGGATACTTCTCACGTTGCTCGACAAGCTTGCAGTAAACGAAAGAATCCTGTGCAACTGACAATGCTGTAGGGAAGGCAGTCACAGCATCCGTCTCTCGCTCAACAACAAACTGGACGCCGTTCACGGCCATATGCTCCAAATCGGACAATGCCTTCTTCGAAACCACTCCTGTTTCGTCCAACGGGTGCTCTCGACACGGGTCATCTGCTCGTAGATGCCGCGGCGGATGCCGCCTCGCCACTGTAAATCGTCATGACACCGCATCCGATAGGCATCGATCAGCCAAATGTAAAGCTCATCATTGTGAGTGGGCTCCCGTGCTGGAGGCTCAGTGGACTCCCGGCCTCCCACCTCGGAGGACGCACTGGCACGCTGCTTGGCCTTGCGGCGCTCATTGCGCTCTCTTTGTGACTTCCCCTTTGAGCTAGGCAGTGCCTTCTTCTCTTCTGAAAACCACTCGAGATTCTTCCCGTGAACATCTGCGAACTCATCTAGGAAGTAATCTGGCCAGTCAGCGATCCCATCTGTAGATCTTTGCTTGCGCCCACGTATGCTGCCACTTGGACCTTTTGGCCCTCCGCCCATTGACATTGTCATCGACACCAAATCCGGCCGCCCTGCGGGCGCAGCCTTCATCTTGACAAGCTGGTCAAAGGCACCGTTGAGCCCAGCGGCGGGATCTGGCAAAGGGCCTTTTATCTTCCGCGCAATGGCGCGTACATGGGCGGCGTCCTGGAACGGATCCAGTGGGAAGCCCTGGCGCTCCAGGCGCCACAGCAGCTGTGGCCCTGTGTCGCGTGGATGCTCACCGATGAGCGACCGCAGGTGATCCTCCAGCGCTCCGCGGCTGACGCCAGACATGGCTCTCTAGAAGATGGCTACCAGTCAACTATAGTCAGTGACTAGTCTCAGCAGCATGGTGCTGGATTCGCTGGCGGCGTTGGCCATCTATGATGTCTGTAGCTTCCCCGTCCGAGGACATGTCTTTGGTCCAGCTTTCGGAATCTAAACTGTGGTGGCTCCAAGCAAAAGGAGACGACCGAGCTTTGCAAAAACGTCCTTACAAGTAGCTGCAGAATCCGCGCTTCGCGGGAGGCGCCTGGTGGGAGGAGTCGCTCTCGGACAGGAAGTCAGGCGCCTGAGCAAGGGGAAATCAAATGCAGGTCGGGGTCCAGGCTTTAGGCACTTTAGGCTTGAGATCTGCGAAGAAGGCTGGGGTTGAAAACTTCCTAAACCAACTGCAACATGCTGAGGGCCTCAGCCAAGCATGGACCATGCACTTACACAAAACGAAAGGCCTAAAACCCCAGACACAAAACCCGGCCTAGCTTCGGAAGCAATGTGACCCGCCGGCGCACGACATGGGCCGCTGGCTCCAACGCTTCGCTGAAGGCGCGTTAACAGCTTTAGGCCTTAATTAGGCGCTTGTTCCGGGTTGGAGAATTTTGGAAGGCTTTGGGATTCAGATTTGGGGCCGCATTCAGGAGAGAAAACAGCTGTGCGAGAAGCTTCAAAACCTGTGGGTTTTGCCAGGGTGATACTTGTATTGTATGGGGTTGCTATAAAGCACAGCAAGCCGAAAGAAAAGGCAACACCGCATACGCTATGCCACTACACCTTACACACTAGCAGTGTAGTTCTGGAGATTGAATGAATCCGTCTCGATATGCTGCCCCCGCTACCTCGGCCTGCAGGCATCCTTTGGGCCTGCACCAGTCCATCGACGCTTCTTATCGAAAACACTTGTCTGCTGGACTGGCGAGCATTGGAGATACCTCAGGGCGCAGAACGCAACCCCACGCCATGTACCTTCGGCCCTATTCCAAGGACCGCAAGAACCACATGCCCCGTAAGCTGCGCTCCCCTACAATAACGGTGAATGTAGGGCACTTAAGGTTTCAAGTTCATGGAGCATATTGAGAGCTGACGAGCGTCGGGCAACTCAAACTCAAATATCCCAAACCTGACTTTTGTTCCTCCTCCCTCCCCCGCTCGATGTGAAGGTGACTCAGTGAGAGCTGTCAAGCACTACACGATAAACCGTGTGTCCCAGAGCTGCAGTGCAGGACTCGATGTTATGGGTCTTGGCTCACTACATATTTCGGCATATCACAATGTCTACCCAAGAATTGAACCCAAAGCCCTAAACTGCTAAACCCTAAAACCCTCCTAAAACCTAGAACCCTAGGTCTTGCATCTCTCCCGTCGTGTCCTATCTTGCTCTGTGACCAGCATGCTTGCAAATAACTAGCACGAAGATCTCGGGATCTCCGAAAGCTGGGTTCTTCTTCTTAAAGAAATGATTCAGCTACTTGAAGTAACTACAATGCTGGGAGCACACTAGCTGCTCGAAATTTTGCTTGGCTTAACTTCACTTGCGTCACTTCATCAGAACCCGGCTGAAACGACATATTTTGTGCATGTGCCGGGTGGCATTGGCACCCGCTGCAGGATTCTCGGGGGGCGGCTCGTGTACTTCGAGGTTGCGAATGTGAAGTGTCAGAAGTACAGAGTACACAGCTTGAACGGCAACCCGCATGTGAAAGTTCAGATGATCCGCCCACCGAGAATTACACGCGATAAACCACGTGGCCTGGAGCTGCAATGCAAGACTCCCACATTGTGGGATCTTGGCTCATTCTGCACTGTCATATTTACCCAAAGTTGCTACAACAAACCCTAAAACTGTTAGCTGTATGACCTTTGCAGTCCGGTCCTGTCCTGCCTGAGGGCTCTCTGGGCCCAACATAGTTTTGCACCAGGAACTGGGGTCTTAAGGAAGTCAATCAGCTGATTGAAGTAACCACAATGCCGGCAGCACATTAGTTACTTGCTGGAAGTTTTGCGTGTAGTAACTTCACTTGTGGTACTTCATCAGAACCCAGCTGAAACGACATATTCTTTGCATGTGCCGGGTGGCATTGGCACCCGCTGCAGGATTCTCGGGGGGCGGCTCGTGTACTTCGAGGTTGCGAATGTGAAGTGTCAGGAGTACAGAGTACACAGCTTGAACGGCAACCCGCATGTGAAAGTTCAGATGATCCGCCCACCGAGAATTACACGCGATAAACCACGTGGCCTGGAGCTGCATTGCAAGACTCCCCGCATTGTGGGATCTTGGCTCATTCTGCTCTGTCACATCTACCCAAAGTTGCTACAACAAACCCTAAATCTATAACCTATACCTGTGACCCTGGACCTTATGACCTTTGCAGTCCGGTCCTGTCCTGCCTGAGGGCTCTCTGGGCCCAACGTGGTTGTGCACCAGGAACTGGGTTCTTAAGGAAGTCAATCAGCTGATTGAAGTAACCACAATGCCGGGAGCACATTAGTTACTTACTCGAAGTTTTGCTTGTGGTAGCTTCACTTGTGGTACTTCATCAGAACCCAGCTGAAACGACATATTCTTTCCATGTGTCGGGCGGCATTGGCACCGGCTACAGGATTCTCGGGGGGCGTGTACTTCGAGGTTGCGAACGTGAAGTGTCAGAAGTACACAGCTTGAACGGCAACCCGCATGTGAAACTTCAGATAAACCAGGTGGCCTGGAGCTGCAATGCAAGACTCCCACATTGTGGGATCTTGGCTCATTCTGCTCTGTCACATCTACCCAAAGTTGCTACAACAAACCCTAAATCTATAACCTATAACTGTGACCCTGGACCTTATGACCTTTGCAGTCCGGTCCTGTCCTGCCTGAGGGCTCTCTGGGCCCAACGTGGTTGTGCACCAGGAACTGGGTTCTTAAGGAAGTCAATCAGCTAACTGAAGTAACCACAATGCCGGGAGCACATTAGTTACTTGCTCGAAGTTTTGCTTGTGGTAACTTCACTTGTGGTACTTCATCAGAACCCAGCTGAAACGACACATTTTGTGCATGTGCCGGGTGGCATTGGCACCCGCTGCAGGATTCTCGGGGGGCGGCTCGTGTACTTCGAGGTTGCGAATGTGAAGTGTCAGGACTACACAACTTGCATGGCAACCACTCCTGGCGTCTTTGAAACTTAGGAGCTAGCCCCCGATCTCTTATCTAGGGGAGTGAGGCGCAAGGATTTCCAGCTTGGCTGCAGCTTGAGTCGTAGGCCTGACTACGAGTTGTCACTGCTTCCTCATGCACGCTCGCCATGGGCTGCTTATGCTCCAACGCTTCGGGTGGTGTTACGCTGGGCTTGCGCCTCAAGTAAGACTGGCAAAGCCTCTCCCTCTGTGCAAAAAACATGCAACAAGCATGTGTTGGTGCAACTGTTCGTTGCACCACCATCGAACAGTCTTCGTTCGACATGCAAGAATGGGCCATGTCGCTAGCTTGGCTCAGCCTGTTGGTCCACTGTTGGTGTTGCTGCGTATGTTAGTCAAGATGCAGGGGCAACATGTGAGCACATGTCACCACCGCAAATGCCATGCCATGCAGCGTCTGCAGTTCAAGCCGGTTGCTTGAGGGCTCTGTCTTGGTGAAACCTTCGTGCAAGAATTATGACCATCTCAAAAACATTGCTCTGAGGAGCTCCTCGGTGTGCAGACTGTCATATCATGAAATCTTGTACAATAGATTACGAAAGAACCTAACGCAACGGAACATAACAGAATCTAATATGATACAATATGGCATGTGCCACAGAATACACAATACAGAGCATTGGATTTGTATAAGTATGTGTGTATATATATATATGTATATGGTAACCTCCCCAAGAACTACCTACCCTCGTTTTGTATCGTAAATACTGTGCCAAACCAGCTTTTCCGGAAGGTCAGGATTCTGTATCTCTCATAGACTTGTGATCTCTCATAGACTACCGAAATAAAACTATCATTTCAAGAGGACGTGTTCAGTCAACCTTGTCAGGCTTAACGTGGGATTCAGTATCTCTCAAGGACTACCGAAGTCAAATCAGTCAGCTCGTTCAAGTTCGACGTTTCGACGTGAGCGCACGCTTAACAGCAACACTGTGCTCTTCCTCCCAAAACTAACTTTTTCCTAGGGAAAAACCAAGAAAAACATCTTGCGGAAAACTATACGGCCGAACTCCAAAAAGATTGGTTTTGTGTTTTTCATAGGAAAAAATGGTTTTTGGTTGAAAAACCAACTTTTCCTACGGAAAAAATGGTTTTTGGTGGTGAGACCAACTTTTTCCTACAAAAAAAGATGGCTTTGGTGTGAAAACCAACTTTTCCTCGGGAAAACAAAAAAAACAACAAAAAACATGTTTTGGGAAACTATACGGCCGGACTCCAAAAAGATAGTTTTTTTGGTTTTTCCCTAGAAAAAATTGGTTTTTCACAACCAAAGTTGGTTTTTCACACCAAAACCATCTTCTTCCTAGGAAAAAGTTTGTTTTTGAACAAAAACCATTTTTTCCTAGGAAAAACAAAAAACAATCTTTTCGGAGTTCGGCCGTATAGTTTTCCGAAAGATGGTTTTTTAGCTCTTCCTAGGAAAGAATTGGTTTTCGCCTCCAAAACCATCTGTTTCCTAGGAAATAGTTGGTTTGTCACGTCAAAGCCATCTTTTTCATAGGAAAAAGTTGGTTTTTTACTCCAAAACCAAGATTTTTTAGCGAGGAGTGCGCCCTTCGTTCGTTTGCCCGCGTTACGAACAAGTGTTGCGCCTTTAAGCTGAGAGTATTCTTTTTACTGGGATGCGATTCCGCCAACATTAATACTTTACAATATATTGGGCAGTAACCAAGGCAATATTCGGGTCAACTTTGGGGTCGATAGGGAGCTGGTTATCACAACTACCGCTTGATGTCTTCTAGCTGACTGAAGTTGTAAATTAAACATCGGGTCAAATTCTGGGTGGTACTAAGCCTACTCTGGATGGCCTTGGGGCTGCTCTCAGGGCGAATATTACGGTCACC